GGTGGCCTCACAGATAGACTGCTGTTAGATCCAATAAATTCCTTTCTGCCCAAAGGATGATGGGTTCTACTTCACTCAATAAGGACCTGCTGTGGTTTCCCCCTGACCCTGGATGTATGAAACTGCCACCCTGTTGTCCATTCGGTGAAGGACTGACTTGCATCTGATTTGAAATGCTAGGGTTATCAGAGCAAGAAAAGCTGCTCACATTTCCAGAATGTTTGAAATGATTACTGTTGTGTGAAACGTTCATTTTTCTTGAACTGACAAACATGGAAATCAGAACTTCCCTGTGTTGGGCTGGGTTCTTCGCTAGTAGTAGGACATCGTCCAGGTAGTGATATACCCTGAGCCCAACCTCCTGTAATGGGGCTAGGACTGTGATCAGTACTTTGGTTAAGATTCTGGGAGAAATACATAGACCGAAGGGCAAACTCTAGAATTGCAGATGAATCTGTCCGATTGCAAATCTCAGATATTTCTGAAATGGTGGGAGTATGGGTATATATAAGTACGCGTCTTGAAGGTCCACTGACAGCATCCAGTCCCCAGGTTGAATGGTGTGGATAATAGTCTGCAGCGATTCTATCTTCAAGCTCTCCAAGAGTATGTAATGGTTTAATTTCTTGAGGTCTATTATGGGTCTCCCACCGCCATTTCTTTTGTGTACCAGAAATAGGTTGGAGTGAAAACCTGAAAGCCTCTCCGATGGAAGAACCAGCATTACTATGCCTGTAGGGAATGCAGAAATTGAAGAAGTACCTCTTTCTTCTGAGAAGACTCTGATATTCTCGTGGGGGTGAAGAAGTCGCGAAGTGGCCGGTCTGAGAAAGCCCAGAAGTGTCCATACTGAACTGTCGAGACCACCCAGGGATCCTGGCATCTTTGCATCCAAACTTTGGCAAAATGCCTCAGACTGGCTCAAACTGGGATGGCCTGGTGTCAAAAGGATTTGGTGGTGTCCTCCGGGTAAGACAGAGCCTTTTGTATGTGGGTCCTAAAAAAAGTAGATTGTGTGCTTCTCCAGGCCTTTCTTGAGTCTCTGCCCTTTCTGAACTGCCTGTAATCTTTGCGCCTGAACTGCTGAAATATTGAAAAACCCCTGGTATGTCTAGGTCTTCTGTCTTGGGGCAACAGGCCTGATTTTCCTCCTGTAACACAGGAAATTGCTTTTTCCATCTTCTCTCCAAACAGTGCTTTGCCATTGAAAGGGATTTTACACCAATTTTGTTTTGACGCCATGTCAGCCGCCCATGGCTTCAACCATAAGGCCCGCCTTGCCATTACAGCATGCAGCATTGATCTTGCAGAAGATCTTAATGTATCGATAGCTGCTTCACCAGTGAAGTCAGCCAAGCGCTTGAGCTCATCCAAAGCCTTGACTATGTCTTCCTTGGGAACTCCCTGTTGGATAGCCATTTATGTTGTCTGTCCATACTCTCAAAGCATTGGAGACAGATGTCAGCGTAATTGCTGGCTTGCAGGCATTTCTGGCTATCTGATAGGCTCTCTTTAGGTCAAGATCTATTCATCTGTCTAGGGGTCTTTAAACATGGTTGAGTCATCCATAAGTAATATTATGTTTTTTGCTAAGTGGACCACCGCTGCATCCACTACCAGTGGACCAGCCAACATTCTGGAGTCTGCTTCTGATAGCGGATATAGCTTGCCCAGGCGATTGAGAGAAAATCTTTTCTCTGTCCTTTTCCATTCTTCTTCTATAACATCCCTGATTTCATCCATCAGAGGAAAGAAGGAGATTTGCTTTTTAAGAAATGGGAAGTAGCTCCTTGATTTCCTTGCTGGGGAATCAGTTTCTTCCCAACCAATGGCAAGCTTGACTGCCTGGACATAAGACTGAACCAGGGAAAAGCTAAAGCTTGAAGGATCTGATTCATCCGAGAAATCTTCTTCTCCAGATTGTCTAGATGGCCGGTCCTCTATTGGGTGAGAGGATTTTCCCGAGGATGGGCCTGGTAGTAGCGCATCAGATGCCTCTTCCTGAGGAAGCTGTGAAGATAGTTGTGACGGATTAGCTGCTACTAGTTCTGCGAGTGAATCTTTGACCACTTTTTTTAGTAGGTTCGCAACCTGCTGGCTCTCTGTACCTCTTTCTGCTGCATAATCCCTGAAACAGTCTGCAGACTAGCTTGCCTGATAGAGAGGTGGCTTCACATGTCCAGCATTTTTGAGGTTTAGGACTTGGGGAGCATGAGGATCATTGTCTTTTGGCAGAAGAACGTGCCTCAGTTGAATGGTATCTCGATCTGGAAGATTGAATTTGGCTCAGGCTGCCCTCGTTGGAACCCTCATGGTGCCTGGATGTCCTCTTGGGCCTCTATTGGCATACAGGGCTGAAATTCATAAATGTACCAGCATAAGCGCACTCTTTTATTTTTACTTTCCCTTACCTTTGAAGTAGAGGAGGGTCTTGTTTGGGCGGCGAACGGCTCATCTCAAGCAAAGGGCAAAAAGAGCAGCTATAAGACAGGAAGAGGATTTAGAGTACTGTGCTTCCCCCCTCTTTTTTTTTGGAATGAAAAAAGGAAACGATAAAGGAGGGTGCATGGAAAAAGGAAGAAGGGGAGAAAAAAAGAAGACTTACTGCAGGTGAATACTGGGGATACTTCCAAGAGCTCTCAGCAAGGCCGGCCTCCACCAAAGCTGCACGAGGCCACACTAAAGCTCCCGGGACTAAATAGTGGAAGGGACGGGGTAAAGGGAAACAAAATCCTCCCACATCCTAGAAGGAAAAAAAAATATGGGAATTTAAGTAAAGGCAAAAATAGCTTATTTGCCCATAATCAAGATGGCCACTGTAGCGTCGAGCCACACCGCACATGCGCAAACCGGTGGCTCTAAGACCCCGCCGGCCAGCTCAGTCACATCGGGCATCTGCTCATGCGCACTGCGCCCGGGAAGATGCCGGGACACAGGAAAAGCCGCAGAGGGGATTGCGCCAGCTCTATAGGGGAGGGAAAAATAAAAAGCAAAGAAAGAGAAAACAGAGGGTGGAAAGAAAAGTACCTGGGGAGAGACCAAGCAGCATTACAGACATGAAGAAGACAAACAGGGACAGAGACGGAAAGTGGGAGAGCTCATGGAAAGTAATGTAGAAAGGACAGGAATAGCTGCTCGCTCTGTCCTAAGCTTCAGCGAATGCCATGAACTTGTTGGCAGTCATAGTGTTTCTGGATAAGCAACAACTGCTGTCCCAAAAGACCCCCAGAAGGGACTCTCTACCTTATCAGTGACTTTAGCTGCCCAAGAGTAGTAACTGCGACTGGGAGTGGCTGACAGAGGTAAGGACGACCGACTTACATTAACTGACCAAAAGGTATGAGGAAAAAAAGAGAATGCTGGGGTACCTTAATCCTTTCTTTTATATATTCACTGGTCCTGAGGGAGGAGTCTAAGGTGGAGCTTATCACAGGTATGCTGCCATGGAAGCATCAGGAAATACATTTTGGCCTGGGATTTGAACCAATGACTCTAGAACTGCCAGGCAGAAGTGCTAACCACTTAGCCACGGTGCTGCCCTGAATTTTTTGTCTTTTTTCATTTATATAATAAAAAATAAAAAACCCAGTGTCACGATCGCAAGATCGCCGCTACCAACATGCGACAATCCCACAATTACGACGTCTAATATGTCACGATCGCGGCGTCAGACCCCAGACCTTCTCACCAAACTTGTGATCGAAGGACTAGCCAATCTAAAACCGCGATGTGACGTGCGTAACAATGCCACGCCCAGCTGCACCCTGCATAACGATTTTCAAGCTAACGGACCACAATCAATGTACCGGCAGCCTGGGCGATCGTTACTGGGTTGGGTTAATTACGCAACTAACCCTCCACACTGCCACCACCTCCTTTTTGTACAGAGAAAGAGGAAACTCGGTATTATCAGCTATAACACTATAATCATTGAAATAATCATCTGTATAAAACGGTCCGCAGGCCGGTTATACAGAGGTTTAAACAAACAGTAGTGTCTCTTTAGAGGCAGGAATTCGTGAGTTGCAATACAGAGCTATAGAAACCGTTCAACACTTTCAGAAAGAAAGATTTATTACTAAAAGCTCAAACAGGAGCACTAAAAATATTTACAGAACAAAGATGTAACTAAGTTATATATATACATATAAAAAGAGCCATAGCACAGCAAAGAGATATCAGAGAGAGGTGAAAGGGTTAAAGTACTTGCAAAAGTCCTGGGTTAGCAGATCCAAGTTTCAGAGCAGGGTGCTTTGATCTCCCTATGTTACGATGGAAAAATGGGAGAATGCGTCAACTCCTCTTCTATTGCCTGACAGCCTGTTTTAAAGTCCCCAGCAGGGGGTGGCTCTGCAGTCAAAGGCCAATCTCCACTTAGGGTGTGGAGATAGGGGTGGATGCCTCAACTAGAGCAAAAATATCTTCCATAACTCATATTTGCCTATAACTTTTCATCTGCACAAGTGACAGTCCACCCGCGGGTATATTATTATACAGACCAGTCTGAGGATTGATTAGATATGAATTATGAAATTATATACTGCACGATTCACGGGATCTATGTTTCTGCTTCCCTGTGTGTCCGAAACAAGGCGAATGACCCACCAAAATGTTCGGCTCCTTTTAGCCCATCTGGCAAGATGCTCGGTTTTTAAGTCTCTCATATTCCAAGATATGAGACATAGGGGAAAAATGGATTTGAGAAGTGTTTATCTGATACTATCACCTAAGCTGAGCTATGTTTATTAGCTCGCAATCTCTTTCAACTTCTGGGAAAGTTTGCCTTATCTCTCCCAAGGTGTGAAATGGCACAGGTTCTTGGGACAGTGCAGCACCACCTGGCTCCCTGCTGGGATCTGGCCTGTGACACTTTTAACACACACACATCTGTCACTGTGCCTCTCAGGAAGGGAGGGGGAAGGAGAATAAGGGAGACATGGATACTCTTAACAAAATGGAGTCTGCGTCCTTCACTGTGTGTTGCGCACGTTTGCGACACCCAGTGGTGATCAAATACCACCAAAAGAAAGCTCTGTTTGTGTGAAAAAAATAACAATTCCATTTGGGTACAGTGTTGCATGACCGAGCAACTGCAAGTTAAAGTAGCACAGTGCTGAATAGCATAAAATTGGTCTGGTTATGAATACCTTCCAAAGGTCAAGTGGTTAAAGTAGTATTGAACCCTATTAGACCCAGCAGAGTCAAAACTGTGAGCCCATAAAAACCCTAAATATTTAATAACTTATATACAGTATGTAATAAGGACTCGCGGGAAGTGATTTCAATATCCATATATATATATATATGTGTGTGATTTTGCATTTCTGGGTAGGGAGCACACCCTACCCGTACCGCCATTCGCAGTCAGTCACCGAAGGTTATTCACTGGCCCCCGCATGCCATGCAAAGCAGTATGCTTACAGTGAAGCACAAACACAGCCCCCTAGTAAAATACAAACGGCACACAGTTAACTCTTTGATTGCCCCACATCTTAACCCCTCCCTGCCTAGTGCCATTAGTACAGTGTCAGTGCTTTTTATCAGCGCTGATCCCTGTATTGACCATATGTGATGCATTGAAAGCTATGTTTTATCATAGTCCTTTTGTGGAAAAATCTGCAATTAGTAGAGCAAGATTGTGTTATCACTTGATCATAATCAGAATAGAAAAAAGGAAGTCAAACAAAATAAACATATAAGTTTATTGCAAGAATCATAAACCAAATCTTACTGTGCACATAAATTACATGGGTGACAGAGCAGTCCTGTAAATGATTAAAGATATCACATTTTGACCTTAAGTCTTTGGTTGCTGCCAAATCTGATTTGCAGAAAGAAAGTTCCAGTCCAACCTTTTACTTAGGATACAGAAAACACTACAGAATAGCCATTAACCACTTGCCCTCCTGAGGATTTACCCCCCTTAATGACCAGGCCTCTTTTTGCTACTCGGCGCTGCACTAATTCAACTGATAATTGCGCGGTCATGCAATGCTGTACCCAAACGAAATTTTTGTTTTCTTTTTCACACAAATAGAGCTTTCTTTTGGTGGTATTTGATCACCTGTGTGCTTTTTATTTTTCGCACTATAAACAAAAAAAGACCAAAAAGTTTTAAGAAAAACAATATTTTTTACTTTCGGCTATAAGAAATATATAGTAAACTCAAAGTTAGTTATAAATTTAGACCAAAATGTATTCTGCTACATGTTTTTGGTAAAAAATCCCAATAAGTGTATATTGATTGCTTTGTGTGAAAGTTATAGTGTCTACAAACTATGGTATAAATACTGCAATTTACGCCATTTTTTTTGCTATACAGCGCTGCACTAGTTTAACTGACAATTGCACGGTCATGCAACACAGTACATAAATTAAATTTATGTCCTTTTTATTTTTGGCGCTATGAACAAAAAAAGTGTTTCGTGAGGACGTGTTATTACACAAAACGCGTTGGGTGGAGCCCTATTGCTGACCTCTAGCCGCCGCTACTAATGAGCGGTGGCCATTTTGGTACTTTATAAATTTATTTATTTATTTTATTACTCCACGTGGATACGTTTTTATGTTACTTGCTATTATTACCTTTAAATAAAATACTACACTATAAGCACCTTTCTGGCTCCTGTGGCTGAGTTAATTCCCCCCAGACCCAACAGGCAACCACCCTGACGGATAGATGGATGACCTTGTAGCTGTCAGCATACCGCTGCACCCCAAGATGTGCAATGTATTATAGTCAATGCGAATTATAATTTATGGTCTGGTGAGTGTACATCCGTACCAAGGGTGGATTTCCTTTTACAAGCTTTTGCACAGTTACTCTTCACGGATAACTTCACATGCCAATCATAGGCATTTCTTCAGCTGATATCTTTGCGCAAGAGATGTTTTAAATTCACAAATGCTCTGATGACAGCGCTGCACTAGTTTAACTGACAATTGCGCGGTCATACAACAAGGTACATAAATTAAATTAAATGTCCTTTTTTTCACACACATAGAGCTTTCTTTTGGTGGTATTTGATCACCTGTGAGCTTTTTATTTTTGGCGCTATAAACAAAAAAAGCGATTCATGTGTACCCCTGAGGACATGTTATTACATGAAACATGTTGGTGGAGCCCTATTGCTGACCTCTAGCCGACGCTACTTTATTTTATTACTCCACGTGGATATGTTTTTATGTTACTTGCTATTATTACCTTAAATAAAATACTACACTATAAGCACCTTTCTGGCTCCTGTGGCTGAGCTAATTCCCCCCCGAACCACCAGGCACCCACCCTGACGGATGGATGGATGACCTCGTAGCTGTCAGCATACCACTGCACCCCCAGATGTGTGATGTATTATATTCAATGTGCATTATAATTTATGGTCTGGTGAGTGTACATCCATACCAAGGGTGGATTTCCGTTTACAAGCTTTTGCACAGTTACTCTTCACGGATAACTTTACGTTCCAATCATAGGCATTTCTTAAGCTGATATCTTTGCACAAGAGATGTTTTAAATTCACGTCATTGATAACTTATTTTATTGCATTTTATGTCATCTTGAACTACTTATATTAATATTGCACTTTACTCACATATGAGTTTAAGTCACATGTGTTTATGGAATTTATGACATGCATTTTTTAGCACTGCACTAATATTTTAAAAATCCTGAAGGTGCTTATTGGATTTTGGGGTCTTCTACTTGGCTAGACTGCCAAAACGTCTCTCACATGTGGTACCCCCATACTCGGGAGAAGTAGCTATTGGCTATCACAGTGCTCAGTCACTGTGAAGCTTGCCCCTGTGTTTTCTCTCTCTGAATGGAGGAAAGAGACACATTGTATCTCTCTTTGTCCTTTCAGATAGAGAGAACAAAAAAACAAGTTTGTGTAAAATAAATAAATAAATATATATATACAGTGAGGTACAGAAGTATTTGAACACCCTGCGATTTTGCAAGTTCTCCCACTTAGAAATCATAGAGGGGTCTGAAATTCACATTGTAGGTGCATTCCCACTCTGAGAGACAGAATTTTTTAAAAAATTCAGGAAATCACATTGTATGATTTTTAAATAATTTATTTGACTTGCACTGCTGAACATAACTATTTGAACACCTGAGAAAATCAGTGTTAATATTTGATACAGAAGCTTTTGTTTGCAATTACAGAGGTCAAACGTTTCCTGTAGTTCTTGACTAGGTTTACACACACTGCAACAGGGATTTTGGCCCACTCCTCCACACAGATCTCCTCTAGATCTGTCAGGTTTCGGTGCTGTCGCTGAGCAACACAAAGTTTCAGCTCCCTTCAAAAATGTTCTATTGGATTTAGGTCTAGAGACTGGCTAGGCCACTCCAGAACCTTGATATGCTTCTTACGGAGCCACTCCTTAGTTATCCTGGCTGTGTGCTTCGGGTCGTTGTCATGTTGGAAGACCCAGCTATGACCCATCTTCAATGCTCTGACTGAGAGAAGGAGGTTGTTGCTCAAAATCTCACAATAAATGGCCCCATTCTTCCTTTCCTTAATACAGTGCAGTCGTCCTGTCCCCTTCGCAGAAAAGCACCCCCAAAGATGGTGTTCTTGGGATGCACCTCATCCTTCTTTTTCCTCCAAACACGACGAGTGAAGTTTAGACCAAAAACTTCTACTTTGGTCTCATCTGACCACATGACTTTCTTCCATGCCTCCTCTGGATCATCCAGATGGTCATTGGCGAACTTCAGACGGGCCTGGACATGTGGTGACTTGAGCAGGGGAACCTTCCGTGCAATGCATGATTTGAAACCATGACGGCGTAGTGTTCTACCGACAGTGACCTTTGAAACTGTGGTCCCAGCTCTCTTCATGTCATTGACTGGCTCCTCCCTTGTAGTTCTGGGCTGATTCCTCACCTTTCTTATCATCAGTGATACCCCACGAGGTGAGATCTTGCATGGAGCCCCAGTCCGAGGGAGACTGACAGTCATCTTTAGCCTCTTTCATTTTCTAACAAATGCTTCAACAGTTGATCTATTTTCACCAAGCTGCTTGGCAATTGCCCCGTAGCCCTTTCCAGCCTTGTGGAGATCCACAATTTTGTCTCTGGTGTCTTTTGACAGCTCTTTGGTCTTGCCCATGGTAGTAGTTGGCATCTGACTGACTGTGGGGTGGACAGGAGTCTTTAAAGAGCTCAGACAGGCGCTACTAAGTTAGATTAATGAGTGGAGAAGTGGTAGACTTTTTAAAGGCACAGTAACAGGTCTTTGAGAGCCAGAATTCTTGCTGTTTCTTAGGTATTCACATACTTATGTTCAGCAGTGCAAGACAAATACATTCTTTAAAAATTATACAATGTGATTTCCTGAATTCTTTTTTAAATTCTGTCTCTCAGAGTGGGAATGCACCTACAATATGAATTTTAGACCCCTCCATGATTTCTAAGTGGGAGAACTTGCAAAATCGCAGGGTGTTCAAATACTTCCGTTCCTCACTGTATATATATATATATATATATATATATATAAAACTCCTAGATTAAGGTTTGATCTAGGTCAGTGCAAGGGTTAGTGTTTGGGTTAAGGTCAGGTTCAAGGGTGAAAAGTCAAGGTCTAAGGTCAGGGCCAGTATTTTTTTTTTTGGTCAGGATTTTTTTTTAATGTTTAAATTAGTATCAGTGTCAGTTAGTGGCAGGGTAAAAAAAAAAAAGCAAAATGTGATCTATTAAAAAGGTGCAGCGCTAATATACAAGTAGATGAAGATACATATTACATATGCAAACTCATATAAAAGTTCAAAGTGACATAGTGCATACAGGTATGAAACACTACTTTGTGTCTGGTAGAACGTGAGGAAAGGATTATTATATCCAAACGAAAGTTCAATGTGAGGATGTGAATAAATATTCAAACACTCTGATGCTTTCCAGGCCACACCGACTGTGTATACGGTGAAAAATTGGGGGTACAAATTGCGCACTCACCAAATGCGCAACCTTTATGCGCTTTTCTCTAACATATAAGACCTCCAATCCCTCATCCAAGGTCTGGTCAGATCTGGTCAGGTCCCCTTCTTAGTCCAAACACCTTGCAATTAGCCTTCTCCTTTGATGATCACCACTCTCCAAGACACCTGGCTCCCACAGGAGCTCAGAAAAAAGCAAAGGAGGCCAATAGTGCAGTATGTCTTAAGGGTACATTTATTCCCACGCACAAACAGCAGATACAAGGTATGGAAGAAGCAAAATAGATACTGACCCTATATGAAGTAACCGCCGGGCCCCTCGTGGTGTTTTCGGCCGAAAACCCTTTGACAAAGAGCTATCTCTCGAAACGCGTCTGGGTCAGGCTGCAGCTGTTTGACGCATACACCGCCGGCACCACGAGGGGCCCGGCGGTTACTTCATATAGGGTCAGTATCTATTTTGCTTCTTCCATACCTTGTATCTGCTGTTTGTGCGTGGGAATAATTGTACCCTTAAGACATACTGCACTATTGGCCTCCTTTGCTTTTTTCTGAGCTCCTGTGGGAGCCAGGTGTCTTGGAGAGTGGTGATCATCAAAGGAGAAGGCTAATTGCAAGGTGTTTGGACTAAGAAGGGGACCTGACCAGATCTGACCAGACCTTGGATGAGGGATTGGAGGTCTTATATGTTAGAGAAAAGCGCATAAAGGTTGCGCATTTGGTGAGTGCGCAATTTGTACCCCCATTTTTTCACCGTATACACAGTCGGTGTGGCCTGGAAAGCATCAGAGTGTTTGAATATTTATTCACATCCTCACATTGAACTTTCGTTTGGATATAATAATCCTTTCCTCACGTTCTACCAGACACAAAGTACAGTTTTGACCTGTAAACTATTCACCCCCAATGCTGTAATGAGGGGTTTAGGGACATATGTACATATGGAATTGTATTCAGAATCAAATCCTACAAGGCACGTTGTAACTACCCAAATGCAACTAAAATGACATCAATTGTTTATGTAATACACTAGTAAATTGAGTGTTCTTATGTGGTTTCTGATCATTGCCACAATTATTCAACCCCTTAAAGACTACCACTCTGAAGAAGACAAGGTTCATAACAGGTGCTTTCCATCAGGTATTGAAAAACACCTGTGGATCTGTGCACCGAGCAGCAATCAAGCATAATAAGCACCATTAGGCAGCTTTAAAATGACTGTGATACTCAGCTCCTTCTAGACAGTTATACAGGTGTTTACAAACATGGTGAAGGCAAGAGAATGGTCCAGGAAGACAGAGAAGAGGTGTTTCTCTTCACAGGAAGGGCAATGGCTATAAGAAGATTGCAAAGATGTTAAACATACCAGTCACACCTTAGGAAGCATCATTCGCAAATTCAAGGCAAAGGGCACTGTTTAAAACGCTACCTGGTCGTGGCATTTAAGATGCTGACTTGACTGCTGTGCGCTACCTGAAGCGTAGAGTCTGAGAGAAGTCCCGTGTGACTGCTGAGGTAACTGAGAAAAGATTTGTCAGATGTGGGTACAGAAGTTCCCAGCCCAGACAATAAGACGCACACTGCGTAATGAAGGCCTCCGTGCCAGAACTCCCAGGCGTACCCCCTTGCTGTCTCCAAAGAATAAGAAGAGTCGACTGCAGTATGCCAAAAAGCCCCATGTGGACAAACCACAAAAGTTGTGGGATAGTGTTCTGTGGACTGATGAAACAAAATTAGAACTGTTTGGGCCCATGGATCAACGCTATGTTTGGAGGGGAAGAACAAGGCCTATGATGAAAAGAACACCTTGCCTACTGTGAAGCATGGTGGAGGGTCAATCATGCTTTGGGGCTGTCGACTTTCTTATTCTGCAGGTACAGGGAAGCTTCACGCTGGGAGTTGTCATGGCAAGGTACCATGAATTCTCTTCAGTACCTTATTATTGGATGGAAACTGATGCAGTACCCACATCTGACAACCTGAGGCTTGGGAGACGTTGGACCTTTCAACAGGACAATGATCCCAAGCATACCTCCAAGTCCACTAGAGCATGGTTGCAGAGGAAAGTCTGGAACATTTTGGAGTGGCCATCGCAGTCACCAGACTTAAATCCGATTGAGAACCTCTGGTGGGACTTAAAGAAAGCAGTTGCAGTGCGCAAGCCTAAGAATGTGACTGAACTGGAGGCCTTTGCCCATCCTGAAGAATGGGCGAAGATACCTCTAGATCGCTGCAAGACACTTGTGTCAAGCTATGCCTTCACCACGTTTTAAAAAGCTGTTATAATGTCTAAAGGATGCTGTACTAATACTAAGATTTTGAATGTCACTTGGGGGTTGAATAAACTGATAATGCTGTGACAGAGAAAAGACATTTGTGGTTTTCAATTGATTAAAGCACCTGTATGTTATATTTGTTCTGACCTACAAGTGCCTCTTTAATGTTGAAAATGTAAGCAAGATGACTGAATGATCACAAAACCATTCAAACTGTATTACAAAACAATTGATTTCAGTTTTAGTTAATTTTGGGTAGTGTTTCATACTGTATGCCTTGTCACTTTGATTCTGAATATGAGTTTCCATATGTAACTATATCTTCATCTACTTGTATATTAGCGCTTTGCACATTGGGGGTTTATATACTGTCTGTTGGCCAGGTCTGTATATGGTGCCTTTGGTGTACAGCTGCTGTTGCTTTGGAAGGCGCTCGCTTATTTATATATTTTAAGTAAAATGTGATCTATTGTTTCTGGGCCGTACTATGGTTACAAACAACAACTAACATACACATATGTGGTATCGCTGCGATTGTCATTAGCAGGAGAAATTATTTTGGGTTGTTTTTTGGCGGTTGATCATCTTTACTATTTTGGGCCAGTTTTCCTTTGATAATAAAAAAAAAATCAGGAGATTTCCATTACAATTTATCACCGAATGAAAGCCCAATTTGTCCTGAAAAAAAACAAGGTATAATCCACCTGGATGCACAAAGTAGTTGTGATTTTATGTATGGTTTTGCTAACACGTCAAAGTTGCAAAATTGTGCTTAGGCTTTAAGATTTGTTTTACCCCTAGGCGTGGAGGGGTTAGCAAATAGTTTTTGGGGAATAGTTATTTTATTGTGCTCAATGTATTAAGTTTAACGCCTACACAAAAACAAAGCATCAATGCTGTGCATAATACTTTTAGGCTACGTTTGCACAAGTGGCCAGATCACCTTTTTTTTTTATTATTATTATACAGGATTTATATAGCGCCAACAGTTTGCTCAGCACTGTACATAACAATGGGAGACAGTACATGAGACAGTACAGTAACAATACGATTCAATAAACGAGGGGTTCGAGGGCCCTGCTCCTTGGAGCTTACAATCTAGGAGGGAGGGGATAGTGGTACAGGAGGAAATAGCTGTGGGGGATGGAGTGGTAGGGAGAGTGGAAGAGTTCAGTAATTATCTGAGAGCGGGGTAGGCTTCCCTGAAGAGATAGGTTTTTAGAGTGCGCCTAAAGGTGAGGAGAGTAGGTGATAGTCTGATGGATTGGGGTAGGGAGTTCCAGAGGATGGGGGAAGCCCTGGAGAAGTCCCGGAGAAGGGCATGGGAGGAGGAGA